GAGATAAGGATAGCTATACAGGGCATTGACTCACATTGATTTCCTGTGCGTGGGTGTTACCTTGTAGGTTAATTCTTTTTGATCTCACCTTTTCTCTAGTACCTGTTCCCCTTTTCCTGTTGGCCTCAGTTGCTTTTGAGGTATCTGCTTTAGTTTCTCTGCATTAAGGGCAACAAATGCTAGCTAATTTTTTTGGTGTCTTACCTATCCTCACCCCTCCCTTGTGTGCTCTCGCTTTTATCATGTGCTCATAGTCTAATCCCATTGTTGTGTTTGCCCTTGATCTAATGTCCACATATGAGGGAGAACATACAATTTTTGGTCTTTTGGGCCAGGCTTATCTCACTCAGAATGATGTTCTACAATTCCATCCATTTACCAGCGAATGATAACATTTCGTTCTTCTTCATGGCTGCATAAAATTCCATTGTATATAGATACCACATTTTCTTAATCCATTCATCAGTGGTGGGGCATCTTGGCTGTTCCCATAACTTGGCTATTGTGAATAGTGCCGCAATAAACATGGGTGTGCAGGTGCCTCTGGAGTAACCTGTGTCACAGTCTTTTGGGTGTATCTTGCATAATCCTTTAAAAAGTAAACATTTAGATGAGGGAACCAACTACAGCTTACAGGCCACATCCAGCCCTGGACCTGTTTTTATACTGACTGTGAAGTAAGAATGGTTTTTATGTCTTTAAATATTTGACAGCATGAAAAGAAAATAAGAGTATTTTGTGGAAAAGTTCTACAAAATTAAAATCTCAGTGTCCATAAATAAAGCTCTATTGGAACTGAGCCACATTTAATCACTTACACATTGTCTGTGGCACCTTTCATGACATAACAGCAGAATTCAGTATGGCCAGAAAAGCCTAAAATGTTTAGCCTCTGGTCTTTTACAGAAAAAGTTTGCTCACGCCTGACCTAAATGTCCAGATGACTTCTTGGTTCTCATCCAGAGTAATGCCAAGGTGTGGAACTGCCAGCATAAATTTATAAAGCTGGAATTCACTTCATACACACTGGGTTTTGATAATGTTACATTTTGAACTAGAATTAAAAATCTTCAAATTATAATTTTCTGTTTTTTAGAATATAGATTCCAATATATAAATTTTAAAAGCAGAATAATAAATAGCTGATGCTTATTGAGCCACAAATCTTGGGTTGTATACTAATGTAAACACTATATATGTGTAATATCATTCAATCCTCATAAAAAACCTATTAAATAGATACTTTTGTCATGCACATTTTGTAGTCAATAAAAACCAAGACTCAGAGATTTAGATAATTTACCAAACTTCATCCAGCTAATTATAGGTGAAACTGTTTTTGAAAATAGTCTAGTTTCAGAGGTTATGCACTTAATACCATGTTAAATACGAATACGGTAGGAAGTAGCAAAATTGCTGCTGCCAATGCACCTTTTGATTCAGGTCACAAGTTAGTTTTATGGGAAAGGAAGGAAGGAAAATGGATTCCTGATATAGTCACTAGAATAATTTTTAAAGTTGCAACTAATCATTTCTCCTTGTTCTAATTTTGCAGTTGATAAAGCATTTAAGTATGTTAACTGGTTTACAGGTCTGTAAAATAAATAAATCATTAGCTCCATTTTACAGATAGAAAAAAATAAGGCTCCCTAAGATCACTGGGAAATGATCTTAAAAACCTTATCTTCTGATTTCTAATCCAGAATTTTTCTCCTCTATATGTGTGTTAGGCCAACTTTCATGACTTATGTATATTGACTTTAATATTATTCACTTAATTTTCTGGAGACTGACTTTTGTCACTTAAATACCCATTTAGCTTTCCCTAAGTCACAATAATGAGTTTGATTCCTGTTTTATTCATTAAATACTTATATAGGACTTAATATTTTCCAAACAATTTATAACCCTTTACAATAAATACTAGCTCAATTAAGCCCTGTAACAAATCTGGGAAGTATATAATACTATTATCCTCATTTTATAGATTAAGAAATCAAAGTCCATAGAGAGACTGAGGAACTTGTCCAAGGATGCATGCCTAATATGTAGCAAGGGAGAATTTAAGCATTGGCAATCTAACTTCCTAGTTCTGTGCTATTGAGCCCTTAACTTGTTTGTCTGTTTGATCAGTTTCTAATACACAGTAAAATAAGTACATGAATATTATACTGAAAAATATTTTTCCATGTACCCCATAAACGCATCTTGCATAAAGACCTTATAGCATGGTGAAGTTCTCAAGAATGCCTTTAAACTCCTGAATATGAGAGAGAGAGAGAGAGAGAGAACAACCTGCTAACTTCATTGGACAGGTAATAAGGGAATGTATAATACACATTAGGACATAAACTGAATATCCTGTGTTAGCAAGATAACATTAAATGTAAACCATTGAAGCACATGGTCAGAGACTTTTTGTTAATAGAAATCTTGAAATCAGTCATTTTTTCTAAAGAATTCCTTAGATTTAAATTCTGTTTAAAACATTTTCAAGGTAAAGGAGCATGAAACACAGTCGTATGGTTCAGTTGTTAGGGAATCTCTCTGTGTGTGATCTAAAACCTGCTTCACTGACCTTTCATTTATTTAGGCTTGGTTTTAGAAAGCATTTTGTTGTTCTTTCCCTCTACCAACCTCCAGATTGTTTACCTTCCCGATTACATTTGACATAAGCTAAAAATAAAATAGTTGCCATCTCCTGAGAACTGCCCCTGATCATGCTTGATAGCACCCACGTAGTGAGGGAGCAGAGGAGGGTGAGAGCATGTCTGTGGACATCCAGAGTGTCCATCAACATGGATCATGGATCAGCGTGATCATGAATACAGATGTTTACATGAGCATATGTTCTTGTGTGATAAGGAGTACACGTAGCTATAAAATTATAAGACTGGTTTTCTTATGTGAATTTTGAAGATGCCCTTGAGACAGTTCATCAAGGGAAATTCTGAAATGCTATTGTTCAGGAAATGATATGATTAAAATAACTTTATAGTCTCAAGATGTTTGTTTAAAGGAACAATAATCCCTGCTATGTACATGAAAAATAAGTTTCATTCATGAGTGTCATTTTGTGAGTTGAGTTTTTTGAAAAAAAAAATTTCCTTAATTTTCAATTTTTAAAATTGTATGAAGCAAGGCTTGGGTCATAGTTCAAGTGGTGGAGCGCTTCATGAGCAAGCACATGGCCCTGAGTTCAAACCCCTGTACTACCAAAACATTATTGCCTCCATATACATATATTTTAACATATTCCTTTCTTGACTTATTTGTGTCTTACCCTGCTATTCTTTTCCACAGGCATTTCCTATTCAAAACAGGGACAGGGACGACACCACTGTTCAGTACTGCAACCCCAGGATACACAATGGCATCTGGCTCTGTTTACTCACCGCCTACTCGGCCACTACCCAGAAACACCCTATCAAGAAGTGCTTTCAAATTCAAAAAGTCTTCAAAGTACTGTAGCTGGAAGTGTACCGCGCTGTGTGCTGTAGGGGTCTCAGTGCTCCTCGCAATACTCCTATCATATTTATAGGTAAGAACAGAGTTTTAGACTTGTTTGTTAATTGGGCATTATATGGTTGTTTTGCTACTTTTATTTATTTATTTATTTTTTGGTCAAGAAGTTTATTACGAGGTTATATTGTGTGAGGGAGAGGGTGTCAATAATACATTATAAATCAGAGTGTTTTAAGTACTTTTCAGCAGATGTAGACCAACAGAAAAGCTGTTTTTATTGCTAATTCATTTCTATATAGAGCAAGGTATATTCTTGGACACACACTTTTGTTATTGAACTTATTGCTCATGAAACATGACTAGCTCTGTGACATTTCTTGTACACAAAATAATTCATGCAGTTGCAGAATTAAACACCATACTGGAATCTCCATCAGGTCTTGCTCAATAGGGAGTTTATCACTGCTTGTGATATTACCTGTCTTGCAGTTAACATAGCTGTCCACATGTAAAGCTAATCTCAGGACCATCATCTTGCAATCAGAACACTCTCCCAAAAACTGGGCATCCATAAAACAGTGAATAGATTACATATTCATTCATACCTAAGTCATTTTCATATTTTCTGAAATATTGACCACATATTCCATTTAATAGTAACTTAACTTCTAATGGAAGTTGTAAATACTGCTTTTATTTAACTGTTTCATAACATATTTGAGCATTCAAACTGCTGGAAATTGCTTTTTAAAATGCCCAAAGTAACTATATCATATTTTGATCTAATTCTCAGTATAGGGAAAGGCTTACCACATTGAACTGCTAATGGTGTCCACTGAGATAAGTCACAGACTATGTGGTTTGTACACAAAGAAAAACAGTCACTGATGCATCCTCATGTTTACAAACCAATTTGTGATGGCCCATGAAATTCTATAACTGAAGAAGAGTATTGCAGAGCTATATATGGAATAGTAGGAACCAGAATCTATCTACCAATAACTGCAATACTCTGTCTATCTAAATTAGGTAATTTGGAAAGTGTAATAACCATTCTGAATCACTACAGTTAATGGAAAAACAGAATTATAGAGCATGAAAGAATTTTAGAGATAATTAAGTCAGGGATGGCAGCTACATGGCATGTTTTGTGTAGTGTTATTTCCAATTTTTTGACCATGGAAGACATCACTAATGATTCAGAGCACTCTTTCCCAGTGAACCTGGAGACATCCTCATTATCCTTATAAGAGTGCTGCATATAGTACCTCAAACAGCCACTACCCATCAATCAGAGATGAAAGCCAGATGAAACCTTTCTGTCATTTTTTTAATCAAAGTTAACTTCTTCCTCATAAGATGATCAAACCAGATACTGAAGGGGTTTTCTCCTGTCCAGGATCATATCCTGGTGAGACAATAATATGCTGTTCCAGAACACTCAAGGTAAATGAGGAATTTCACAACCACAAACATCAGTGTTCTGAGATGAATTTCTAGTATTTAATTAGAAAACATCCCAACCATTAGGAGAATTCCCTCTAGTCAGCTGTATAAATTACTTGAACCGGTCAGAAGTCCTATCAAAACTTCAGAAAATAGAGAAAGTGAAAAGTTAATTGTAATCACATAGTTTGTAGAAACCACTGTTGACTTTTCAGTACATACCTGTCCAGATGTTTTTCCATGCATTTTAAATTCAGTTTCATCAGGCTTTTTTGTAAGTACTATATACATTATCCATAAAATTTTATTTAGTGGCTATTTTTTAATTAACCAGTCCCAAAAAATGTAATGACTTTATTTTATGCATGTGACTGTGTATGTGTTTGTGTGTAGTCATTTAATCAATTTTTTAAATCGGTATAAATTTTCTGAAAGAAATTTGCAATCCCAAAAGGTAGGCAAGCTTTAAACTTTGCAAATCAGTGCAATGTTTCTGTCAGCTATACTAGTGATCATCTATATGGACATATTTCATTATCAATATTTTTAAACTTTGTCAAGCTCTTAGGTTAAAACATTTTATCTTTGTTTTAATTTATACTAGTAGTGCTGAATGTCTTTTCATATATTTGTTGGATGTTTGTCTTTTTGTTTATGTTGGTCTAATTTTCCTCCATTTTCTTATTAGGACTTTTCTCTGTTCTTTTTGATTTGCAAAAGTGTTTTTAATTAAAAATATGAATTTTTGTGATATGTGTTATATGTTTTTCCAACTTGCTATTAATTTTGTTCATAGTCATTTTTTCCACATTCCATCCAGAATTTTTTAAGTAGTCAGATTTATCAAATTTTTCTTTATAATTCCTTGGTTTTATACATTATCTGTAAAGTCCTTATTTAATCTAAAAATTATTTTTTAATGCACTTAAATTTATTCTGCTACATATATGGTTCTTCACTAGCCTTTTTTGGTGCTGGGAATTAAACACAGGGTCTCACACATGCTATGCGAGCACTGTACTACTGAGTTATACCCCAACTCCTCTTGGATCCTCTAATAGTTATTAGCGGTCCAGATTAGTTCTTCATTCTAAAAGCAAGGGAATAACGACATACATGAAAGCACACTTTCAGTAGTACCTCTTTCATAGTAGCTTGATGAACAAAAAAGCACAAAAGAAAAGAAGGGAAATACCTATCTTTTACTGAAAATATTGGGAATGACTTGATTTAGCAGGTTTCCTTGAACTGGAGCTTGAAAGACAAAAAGAGGAGTTGTTGGCTTGCTGTCAGAAGGGTTAATGAGAGATCACATGAAGAGAGACATCCAAACAATAACAAGGAAGAAACACGAAAGCCATAGTAGATATTTCACATGTGTGAAGTACCCAGTGTGCTTGTGTTTGAGGCTGTGTATGAATTTCCCCATTTAATTTTCTCAGACCATTGAATTATCTCTATTTAAAAACTAGCAAACCTATTGCTTAGAAAGGTACTATGCCTAAAGTCACACAGCAAATAAATGAAGGACACTAGTTGGTAAATTATCAAAGACGCCATTACACTATATCTGCCTCCCATGAGTTTTTTTGAAGAACTGAAAATGGGGAAGAAATTTAAGCATTGGAGAAGGAAAGAATCAGATTTACATTTTTAAATGATTGCATTAGTGGCATTCTAGAGCATGTAACTTGATGAAAGGAAGTCCAGACTTGTGCTTTTCACACTTTAATGTGCCCAGGACCTCCCTGGGGACAGTGTTAAAATGCATATTCTGAATCAGCAGAATGAAATGAGAACTGAGATTCTGGATTTCCAACAGCTCCCCCTCCCCACTACCCATGATGCTGCTGTGGTCTAGAGAACCTTCTTTGAGCAACAAGAGTCTCTGCTAGTGCTACCAAATGTAAATTTCCATGTGATGATGGAAATGTTCTGTGTCCATCCGCACTGTCCATTTCCTTACCCACTAGACATATGTGGCTGTTGAGCACTTGAAATGTGGCTCGTGAATTTAAAGATCTGAAGTTTTCACTTTATTTTTAATGAATTTAAATCTCAAATAGCCACATGTGGCTAGTAGGTACCAGCTACTATTTGAACAGTATAAGTCTAGACAGCTTGTTAAGAAAACTCATCTTAAGGAGAAGATTATAAGTTCCTGTTAGTATAAGCAGTATTTAGAAATAGTTGAATAGATGTGCCATGATTTTTGCATATCACAGTTTAAAAAATAAAATAGATACAATGCAAATGTCTTTTCAGCAGTCACATTATGAATTTCTTTCTTCTACTTTTTTTTTTTTTTTTTTTTTTTTTTTTGTGGCACTGTGTATTGAACCCAGGGCCTCATGCTAGGCAGACAATCACTGAGCTACATTCCCAGCCTGCAAATTATGATTTTCTTTAGACTTCTGAGCTCCCAGCTAAAATTCTGCTTTCACTCATTAACCTTTAAGTTGGTGAGTCACAATGAAAATTCTGTAGATGACTCACCGCCATTGTGAAGTCTAATAATAATAATTATACAGACCCATCAAAAAAAAAAACCTGTGCCACTTTAGTGGTCCCTTCATATACCCATTCTTCTTTTTTCTGCTCTAAAACTAGGAAATTTTAAAGATGAACAATAAACAGCAGTTGTTCACCAAAGAATAAGTGAAAAGGAGATAGCATATTGCTTGCTGTTACTTCTGTTTGTTGTATAGTGTATGAGAGTTTTGATTCTTGTTCTTTCCTCCTAGAAGCTCTTGTTTTTGGACAGAAGATAACCTGAAGTGTCTTTTTTTTTTTTTTTTTTTAGGGTTTTGTTTATTTTTATTTTGTTTGGGTTTTTCTTTGGGCGGGGAGCAGTACTGGGGTTTGAACTGATGGCTACCACTTGAGCCAAAAGCACCAGTGATTTTGCTTTTAGTTTGTTTTTCAAATAAGGTCTCATGCTTTTGCCCAGGCCTGCCACAGACCACAGTCCTCCTACCTCTACTTCCCAAGTAGCTGGGAGCACAGGTGTACACCACCGCACCCAGGCCTAACCTTGAAGTTTTGATAGGAAAACATTGAGAAATCACATCATGAAACATAAACATTAGTAAAACATTATCAAATACAAATCAAAATAAAGTTTGTAATTATCCCCATTAAAAAAATGTGGCAAGTCATTCAAATTAAATGTCCAGCAACAACATATTGACACTTAACTTTGTGGACAATTTACTTTTACTGCATGATATGGTCAATAAATTCAAAGAATTTTCTCCTTGTAGAGAATACCAAAGTTGTTTCCACGTGTCCTTTAAGTTTAAGGAGCACGATGGAAAACAGAAATCTTACCAGAATATTTTATGCTAGTATATCTTTTCAACCCTTTGCCCTTTTGGCTAACTTTTTTTCCAACCAATAATTCATTTGACAATTAATTTTTTTGGCTTTTTTGAAGTCTTTTTGAGATACAATTTATATGTCACACAGTTCCCCAATTTGAAATGTACGATTCAATGGTAATTAGTGTATTTATGCAGTTTTATAACTGTCATCCCAGATAATTTTACAATATTTCCTTCACCTTCAAAAAAGGAACCCTAAATTTTTTAACAGTTCCTTTGCATTTCTAACACCCCAGTAGATTT